ACTGGGAGAGTCTGTGTGACTGGGAGAGTCTGTGTGTGTCTGGGAGAGCCTGTACGTGTCTGGGAGAGCCTGTGGGTGACTGGGAGAGTCTGTGTGTGTCTGGGAGAGTCTGTGTGTGTCTGGGAGAGCCTGTGTGTGACTGGGAGAGCCTATGTGTGACTGGGAGAGTCTGTGTGTGACTGGGAGAGTCTGTGTGTGACTGGGAGAGCCTGTGTGTGTCTGGGAGAGTCTGTGTGTGACTGGGAGAGCCTGTGTGTGACTGGGAGAGCATGTGTGTGACTGGGAGAGTCTGTGTGTGTCTGGGAGAGCCTGTGTGTGACTGGGAGAGCCTGTGTGTGACTGGGAGAGTCTGTGTGTGTCTGGGAGAGTCTGTGTGTTTCTGGGAGAGTCTGTGTGTGACTGGGAAAGCCTGTGTGTGACTGGGAGAGCCTGTGGGTGACTGGGAGAGCCTGTGTGTGTCTGGGAGAGTATTGTGTGTGTCTGGGATAGTCTGTGTGTGTCTGGGAGAGTCTGTGTGTGACTGGGAGAGTCTGTGTGTGTCTGGGAGAGCCTGTGTGTGACTAGGAGAGCCTGTGTGTGTCTGGGAGAGCCTGTGTGTGACTGGGAGAGCCTGTGTGTGACTGGGAGAGCCTGTGTGTGACTGGGACAGTCTGTGTGTGTCTGGGAGAGCCTGTGTGTATCTGGGAGTCTGTGTGTGTCTGGGAGAGCCTGTGTGTGACTGGGAGAGCCTGTGTGTGACTGGGAGAGTCTGTGTGTCTGGGAGAGCCTGTGTGTGACTGGGAGAGCCTGTGTGTGACTGGGATAGTCTGTGTGTGTCTGGGAGAGCCTGTGTGTGACTGGGAGAGTCTGTGTGTGACTGGGAGAGCCTGTGTGTGTCTGGGAGAGCCTGTGTGTGTCTGGGAGAGCCTGTGTGTGTCTGGGAGAGCCTGTGTGACTGGGAGAGCCTGTGTGTGACTGAGAGAGCCCGTGTGTGACTGGGTGAGCCCGTGTGTGACTGGGTGAGCCCGTGTGTGACTGGGAGAGTCTGTGTGTATCTGGGAGAGCCTGTGTGTGACTGAGAGAGCCCGTGTGTGACTGGGTGAGCCCGTGTGTGACTGGGAGAGTCTGTGTGTGACTGGGAGAGTCTGTGTGTATCTGGGAGAGCCTGTGTGTGACTGGGAGAGCCTGTGTGTGTCTGGGAGAGTCTGTGTGTGACTGGGTGAGTCTGTGTGTGACTGGGAGAGCCTGTGTGTGACTGGGAGAGCCTGTGTGTGTCTGGGTGAGTCTGTGTGTGACTGGGAGAGCCTGTGTGTGACTGGGAGAGCCTGTGTCTGTCTGGGTGAGTCTGTGTGTGTCTGGGAGAGCCTGTGTGTGTCTGGGAGAGTCTATGTGTGACTGGGCGAGTCTGTGTGTGACTGGGAGAGCCTGTGTGTGACTGGGAGAGCCTGTGTGTGACTGGGTGAGTCTGTGTGTGACTGGGAGAGCCTGTGTGTGACTGGGAGAGCCTGTGTGTGTCTGGGTGAGTCTGTGTGTGTCTGGGAGAGCCTGTGTGTGACTGGGAGAGCCTGTGTGTGTCTGGGTGAGTCTGTGTGTGTCTGGGAGAGCCTGTGTGTGACTGGGTGAGTCCGTGTGTGACTGGGAGAGTCTGTGTGTGACTGGGAGAGCCTGTGTGTGTGTCTGTGAGAGCCTGTGTGTATCTGGGTGAGCCTGTGGGTCTCTGGGTGAGCCTGTGGGTCTCTGGGTGAGCCTGTGAGTCTGTGGGTGAGCCTGCGGGTCTCTGGGTGAGCCTGTGGGTCTGTGGGTGAGCCTGCGGGTCTCTGGGTGAGCCTGTGGGTCTCTGGGTGAGCCTGTGGGTCTCTGGGTGAGCCTGTGTGTGACTGGGAGAGCCTGTGTGTGACTGGGAGAGTCTGTGTGTGACTGGGAGAGCCTGTGTGTGTCTGGGAGAGTCTGTGTGTGACTGGGAGAGCCTGTGTGTGACTGGGAGAGCATGTGTGTGACTGGGAGAGTCTGTGTGTGTCTGGGAGAGCCTGTGTGTGACTGGGAGAGCCTGTGTGTGACTGGGAGAGTCTGTGTGTGTCTGGGAGAGTCTGTGTGTTTCTGGGAGAGTCTGTGTGTGACTGGGAAAGCCTGTGTGACTGGGAGAGCCTGTGGGTGACAGAGAGTCTGTGTGTGTCTGGGAGAGCCTGTGTGACTGGGAGAGCCTGTGTGTGACTGGGAGAGCCTGTGTGTGTCTGGGAGAGTATTGTGTGTGTCTGGGATAGTCTGTGTGTGTCTGGGAGAGTCTGTGTGTGACTGGGAGAGTCTGTGTGTGTCTGGGAGAGCCTGTGTGTGACTAGGAGAGCCTGTGTGTGTCTGGGAGAGCCTGTGTGTGACTGGGAGAGCCTGTGTGTGACTGGGAGAGCCTGTGTGTGACTGGGACAGTCTGTGTGTGTCTGGGAGAGCCTGTGTGTATCTGGGAGTCTGTGTGTGTCTGGGAGAGCCTGTGTGTGACTGGGAGAGCCTGTGTGTGACTGGGAGAGTCTGTGTGTCTGGGAGAGCCTGTGTGTGACTGGGAGAGCCTGTGTGTGACTGGGATAGTCTGTGTGTGTCTGGGAGAGCCTGTGTGTGACTGGGAGAGCCTGTGTGTGACTGGGAGAGCCTGTGTGTGTCTGGGAGAGCCTGTGTGACTGGGAGAGCCTGTGTGTGACTGAGAGAGCCCGTGTGTGACTGGGTGAGCCCGTGTGTGACTGGGTGAGCCCGTGTGTGACTGGGAGAGTCTGTGTGTATCTGGGAGAGCCTGTGTGTGACTGAGAGAGCCCGTGTGTGACTGGGTGAGCCCGTGTGTGACTGGGAGAGTCTGTGTGTGACTGGGAGAGTCTGTGTGTATCTGGGAGAACCTGTGTGTGACTGGGAGAGCCTGTGTGTGTCTGGGAGAGTCTGTGTGTGACTGGGTGAGTCTGTGTGTGACTGGGAGAGCCTGTGTGTGACTGGGAGAGCCTGTGTGTGTCTGGGTGAGTCTGTGTGTGACTGGGAGAGCCTGTGTGTGACTGGGAGAGCCTGTGTCTGTCTGGGTGAGTCTGTGTGTGTCTGGGAGAGCCTGTGTGTGTCTGGGAGAGTCTATGTGTGACTGGGCGAGTCTGTGTGTGACTGGGAGGGCCTGTGTGTGACTGGGAGAGCCTGTGTGTGACTGGGTGAGTCTGTGTGTGACTGGGAGAGCCTGTGTGTGACTGGGAGAGCCTGTGTGTGTCTGGGTGAGTCTGTGTGTGTCTGGGAGAGCCTGTGTGTGACTGGGAGAGCCTGTGTGTGTCTGGGTGAGTCTGTGTGTGTCTGGGAGAGCCTGTGTGTGACTGGGTGAGTCCGTGTGTGACTGGGAGAGTCTGTGTGTGACTGGGAGAGCCTGTGTGTGTGTCTGTGAGAGCCTGTGTGTATCTGGGTGAGCCTGTGGGTCTCTGGGTGAGCCTGTGGGTCTCTGGGTGAGCCTGTGAGTCTGTGGGTGAGTCTGCGGGTCTCTGGGTGAGCCTGTGGGTCTGTGGGTGAGCCTGCGGGTCTCTGGGTGAGCCTGTGGGTCTCTGGGTGAGCCTGTGGGTCTCTGGGTGAGCCTGTGGGTCTCTGGGTGAGCCTGTGGGTCTCTGGGTGAGTCTGTGAGTCTCTGGGTGAGCCTGTGGGTCTCTGGATTGGCCTGTGGGTCTCTGGGTGAGCCTGTGGGTCTCTGGGTGAGCCTGTGGGTCTCTGGGTGAGTCTGTGAGTCTCTGGGTGAGCCTGTGGGTCTCTGGATTGGCCTGTGGGTCTCTGGGTGAGCCTGTGAGTCTCTGGGTGAGCCTGCGGGTCTCTGGGTGAGCCTGTGGGTCTCTGGGTGAGTCTGTGAGTCTCTGGGTGAGCCTGTGGGTCTCTGGATTGGCCTGTGGGTCTCTGGGTTGGCCTGTGGGTCTCTGGGTGAGCCTGTGGGTCTCTGGGTGAGCCTTTGGGTCTCCGGCGAGTCCGCGGGTTCCCTAGGCGGGCCTGTTGCTGTCTGTGTCAGCATCTCCGGGCTAGCCTGCAGGTTCCCTGGGTCTCTGGGTGAGCCTGCGGGTTTCTACGCGAATCCGTGCGTCTCCATGGCAGTCTGTAGGTCTCTGCGCGAGGAGTCTGCAAGACCGCCGGTGTAATCGCTGTGGGCGTGCGGCTAACGTCCGCATTGGGCGATGGGTGCTCGTCGTCCGCCACCTCCATAGCCGCGTGGGGTGCAACGTAGCCGGGATAGGGTGCAGAGGGGGGCGCTGGATGAGGAGGCAGATGAAGGGATTAGTGGGGGTGGTGTGGGGGGAGGGGCGGGAGATGAACGGCAGGGAGCAAGACGCAGGGCAAAGGTGACCGGGTCAGATGATGGCACGGGGGGCAGAGGGATAGCGATGGAACAGGGGGAAGAGCAGAGAAGCAAGTAGGACACCCAGAATCGTGCAGAGAGAGGAGCAGGGTGGAGGGGACAGGGCAGGAGGAGGAGAGGGACGGAGGCGCTGGGCGGACTCGCTCTGTGCTACGGAGCAATAATCAACAGCACAGTCGGCGCAATGACTTCTCTACAGGAGGAGGAGGGGGGAGAGGCGAGGGGAGGGGGGGGACGCGGCGGTGGCGGTGTTAGCGGCGGTGGTAGCGGACGGCCAGGGCAGTCGGTGGGGGGGGGTGTGGGATGGGCGGCTCGCGAGGGGAGGACGGTGCTCAGGTGGTGGGTAGCAAGCCTGGGCAAGGCCAGAGGATGCGGGGGGGGGGGGGGCATCAAATCCTCGGGGTCCATTTGGCGAATGCGCGCGTTGTCAACGACGACGCCGCTGCTCAGAATGGGCCACCGCCACCACAGCCACCACCACCGCCACCACCGCCACCGCCACCGACAACCGCCGCCACCACCGCCGGGCTCCTCCAGCCGGAGTGCCGATCCTCCGTCCCGTCCCCTCTCCTCCCCCACGGCTCGTTCCCACTGGCGCCTTCGCCGCCGGTACCGCCACCGCCGCCGCCGCCGCCGCTAGTGCCGCCGCCAGTGCCGCCGCCGCCCCCATCGGCGTTACCTTGCCCGAAGTCCGAGTGGAAGCTGTTGGGGGAGGCGTCGGGAAACGCGGGCGGCTTGTCCCGCACGTCGGCGCCGGCCACGCCGCCCGGCTGCGCGCCGGACTTGTGCGACTTCTGGTGCAGGGCCAGAGAGGCGCGGTGCTTGTACATCTTTCCGCACGTGCGGCAGTGGAAGCTCTTCTCGGCGCTGTGCGTGCGCTTGTGCCCGATGAGGCTGTGCGACCAGCGGAAGGTCTTTCCGCACTTGTCGCAGCGGTACGGCCGCTCACCTGTGTGAACGCGCTGGTGACTCAGCAGCTCGTGCGAGCGCAGGAACGCCTTGCCGCACGTGTCGCACTGGTACGGCTTCTTGTCCGTGTGGATGCGCTGGTGCTGCGGGGCGGCGGGCGCGCGGGGCACGGCGGGTGACGGCGGTTGTGGAAGCGGCGGTGACGATGGTTGCAGTGGTGGAGGCAGTGACAGAGTTCGTGGTGACGGTTGTGGCGGTGGCAGCGATGGTTGTCGTGGTGACAGAGTTGATGGTGGCGGTGGTGGCGGTGACGGCGAGGCGGTGGGTGGTGGGGCGTGTGGGAGACAAGGGAGAGAAGGGAGAGGGCAGACGCACGGTGAGGTGGCAACCTAAAATAAAAGTAGTTTAAATAGTCAAACAGTTTTAACACTCCTCCAAGTCAATGACCAATGAATGACCTCCAAGTCGCGACTCGGCGAGGTCCACAAGCGAGACAACCCCAGTATCCTCGAGTGCCGCTTCTCAACTCAACAATGTTTTCTATTTTACCACGTGAGGCACACGGAGCTGGGCAACTCTTTTGGAAGCGGCCTGGCGATCACAAGCCCAACGAAGTGGCGGTGCGAGTCGACAGTTCTCTGCGCGAGTTTACCCCTGACCCAATCACTACCCCGATCATCACTACCCCTTACCGCTACACCAACCCCTAACCCAATCAATACCCCTACACCAACCCCTAACCCAATCACTACCCCTACACCAAACCCAATCACTACCCCTACACCAACACTAACCCAATCACTACCCCTACACCAACCCCTAACCCAATCACTACCCCTACACCAACACTAACCCAATCACTACCCCTACACAAACACTAACCCAATCACTACCCCTACACCAACCCCTAACCCAATCACTACCCCTACACCAACACTAACCCAATCACTACCGCTACACCAACCCCTAACCCAATCACTACACCAACCCCTAATCCAATCACTAACCCTACACCAACACTAACCCAATCACAACCCCTACACCAACCCCTAACCCAATCACTACGCCCATCACTACCACAACACCAAGCACTAACCCAATCACTATTGCTATCCATAATGCAGGTTTTTTGGGTTAGATTGCGTAAATATAAATGTGCTGTTACACCCGCCACAATGACACAGCCAATTTGCAAGGCTTCGTCACGTAAAGAGAACACGCCAATTCGTCACTAGCACAGCACACCGGCTGTGTTGGAGAGCAAATCCATAACATTCACCATCCGACTACCGTAACGTTTCGCCGGTAATTGCAAATGGCATCATCAGGCGGCAGCCAGATTTGTGGAGAAATCCTCCTGTTTAATTCCTTAAATAGAGGGATAGGTGTCACGTGTAAGCCCTTCTTGTGCTTAATGGGGTGGGGATTAATGATTGCCTATGAATTACAATGTACATTACACGTGCACATTGTTGTTCGTGTACCAGCTGTCGTTTGTGTGCACTAAAATAGCAGTACCTGCTGATTGTCTGCTCACAGGCATTCCGCACTGCCGTATGGTGACCTGTATAGGCATGCATGTAGACAATGCATTCTTTGATGATTCACTTACAAGCAGCACTAAGTCTGTAGCTATCCGAACGGTGAAAATAATTTTTCTTTCTCTCAATTTCGATAGATTATCTAATTAGTCTTGGCCAGTAGTAACTAGTTTTGCACAGAACTTCAACATTATAAAACTCAATTGAGTGTACTTGCGTCTTCTGCCACTGCCGACAGTTGTGTTTGGGAGTATGTTGGGCCGTCAACACAAATAATAAGCAAGAGACTAAGAGAACACAAGGAATTGTAAATACTCTCTCTCTCTCTCATCTTCACGGTGGCTAGGCGACGTTAACTACCTCGCTTGGTACACACAGGAGCTCCTGGCTTTGATCCTGACGGACGCCTGCAGTACATTTGGAGTTTGCATCTCTCTCTCTCTCTCCCCCCGTGGTCCCGTAGATTTCTCTCCGATTTTTTCTCCACATTTAGCCAACACGTATTTCTGCATTTCCACGTGACGACAAGCCACTTCACAGGGCTTCTGACAAGAGAGCCACGCAGCCTAACCTGGTAACATTAAAGTTGTTTTTACTTTATAAAGATTAATACATGAAACGGTAGCAACGTCACCCACTACTGGGGTGTCTCTGTAACGCATTTCTACGTGCCCATCGCTCAGCAGCGAGAAGAACGGCGATTGTGCCGTGCACCGAATCATTTATTGTCATTATCCAAGTGACCACCACCACCCTAATCTCACAGCCACCACCCTGATTTCTGTTACCACCACGACCACTCTAATCTCACCACCACCACCACCCTGATCTCACCACCACCACCCCTGATCTCAATCACCATCACCACCCTGATTTCAAGTCACCAGCACCGTGATATCCCCGTGACCCCCACCCACCCACCCCCTCCCGCCCCCCGCCCCCCTCACCTTGAGCACATCCTCGGGCAGGCGGAAGTTCTTGCCGCACTGCTCGCACACGTAGGGGCGCTCGTCGGTGTGCGTGCGCTGGTGGCGCGCCAGGTCCCGCGTCAGCGCGAAGCTCTTGCCGCACTGGTCGCACTGGAAGGGCCGCTCGCCCGTGTGCAGCGACTGGTGGCGGAACAGGTCGGTGGACTGGCGGAAGAGCTTGCCGCAGTCGGCGCACTTGTAGCGCTTCTCCTTGACGTGCGACGAGCGCCGGGGAAGCAGCTCGCAGGCCGCGGCACCCCCCCCGTCCTTGCTCACCAGCACGCCGCCCACCACGCCGCCCACCACGCCGCCCACCACTCCGCCCACCGCGCCGCCCCCCCCGCCGCCCCCCCCACCGCCGCCGCCGGGGCCGCCGGGGCCGTCCACGCCGCCGCCGTTGGGGCCGGCTCCGGTGTCGGCGCCGCAGTCGAGCGGCTCCACGGTGGGCCCCGGGGTGCCGGTCTGTGTCGGCTGCTGCTGTTGCTGCTGCTGCTGCTGTTGTTGCTGCTGCTGTTGTTGTTGTTGCTGCTGTTGCTGCTGCTGCTGCTGTTGTTGTGGGTCAGGGGCCGGGCAGCTTGACATGACGTGAGAGCCTGCGGCAAATGTTAAACGACAAACAGCTGTCACGATGTACGTGTGTGTGCGCGTGTGTGTGTGCGCGTGTGTGTGTGTACACGTTGAACTTTTATCGCACCGTACGTAGCCAACCGCCCTAAACGGAAGGACAACAAACTAAACACAAAGCATGATAATTGGTTTTATACCCTTTTATCTGGCAACAAAACTGACACCTTTTTTACAAGGAGTCATACAAAAAGGTGTCAGTTTTGTTGCCAGAAAAAAGGGTAAAAAAGCTATTATCATATTTTTCTACTGGCAAATGAGGTTCCAATGGTGTGAACACAAAGCAGTTCTAAAGAAATTAGTTTGTCAATGTAGATGATTTAAAAGTGCACAGCACCCAATGGTTTTCTAACATCTGAAGGAAGAGCATTCCAGACGGCCGCAAAAGCGCATTGGAAACTAACATTTGTGATGGCAAGGTCGTTCTGATAAAAAAGCTGGCTTACCCGGTGAAGTAAAAATAGTTTAGTATATTTCGATTTAAAGCTTTCGTGACTGCAGGGATTCATCTTCTTGGTTCTTTCGGTAAAGTCACGTAGAATGGAAATAATAAAATAATAAAAATAAAACATAATAAAATAATTTTCACGACGTTTCGGCCACAACGCAAGCAGCCGTCCTCAGGTGAAAACCAGGTCTGTCGAGGCGACAGCGTCTGAATGAAACAGCACCATGCTTGGAGCATATATTTAAGCTGGGTTGGAAGGGGGGGAAAGGGTGCCTTGACAAAATAATTTGCATATCAAGAGGAATTCATAAACCCATAAATATGCTGAATTCCGAAACGTCGTGAGAATTATTTTATTGTGTTTTATTTTTATTATTTTATGACTTCCCTTCTACGTGGCTTTACCGAAAGAACCAAGAAGAATAGTTTTTAGTTCAGGTTTAGAGTGTGGGGAGCGGTAATGCAGTAGGTTAGCCTGCAACGCTACGAGACCATCAAACAGAGTTCGATTCCCGCTCACGGTCAACACCAGCGACGATTATCTGCACTGGTCCTGGACCTCCCCGAGGTCGACTTAGCCTCAAATGAGGATATGTTGCGTATAAACTTCACCGCTAGGGAGACCAAGGCCACACCACCCCCTTGCCCAAACAGTCTCAACTAAAACTAAACTCCGATTTAAAGCTTGCGTGACTGCAGGGATTCATCTTCTTGGTTCTTTCGGTAAAGTCACGTAGAAGGGAAGTAATAAAATAATAAAAATAAAACACAATAAAACAATTATCACGACGTTTCGGCCACAACGCAAGCAGCCGTCCTCAGGTGAAGAACATGTCATATATAAGCTTATATATATGCTCCAAGCACGTGTGCTGTTTCATTCAGAAGCTGTCGCCTCGACAGACCTGGTTTTCACCTGAGGGCGGCTGCTTGCGTTGTGGCCGAAACGTCGTGATAATTATTTTATTATGTTTTATTTTTATTATTTTACTACTTTCCTTCTACGTGACTTACCGAAAGAACCAAGAAGATAAAACTAAACTCCGATGTAAAGCTTTCGTGACTGCAGGGATTCATATTATTGGTTCTTTCGGTAAAGTCGCGTAGAAGGAAAATAGTAAAATAATAAAAATAAAAGAATACAATTCTCACGACGTTTCGATTGCAACACAAGCAATCATCATCAGGTGTGAAAACCACAGCAAGAAAATTTGAAAAAAACCGCCACTTTTTCTAATTTTTATTATTTCCCTTCTACGTGACTTTACTGAAAGAACCAAGAACATAAACTATTTTTATTTTACCCGGGAAGGGCCACTGAGCTAGACCTGTTTTTCTTAAGTGACCCGGCTATCAAGCATAGCAGCTCAACGAAGTGGCTTGTCAATCATCAGCATCGTGAAAATGTAGAGCAGCCAAACACTCTAAACGTGTGGCGACGTCGATTCCAAACGTGGAGGGGAAACCCACGGGGAGACAGACACACAAACTCCAAATATACAGCAGCAGGCATTGTCAGGGTCGGGATCGAACCCACGACCTCCTGTAGACCAGGCGAGGTAGTTAACATCTCATAGCCACCGTGATGATGATGATGATGATGGAGAGAGACACGCAAACTCCAAATATACAGCAGCAGGCATCGTCAGGGTCGACCCCAACATCTCCAGCTTCCGGAAGGGGGGGGGGGGGAACGTCGAACACGGTGCCCAGAAACCCTCTACCACAATCGCGGAAGCCGCTTCAGGCGCTGGCAGGGAGCTGGTAGGGGCTGGTAGGGGCTGGTAGGGGCTGGTAGGAGCTGGTAGGGGCTGGTAGGAGCTGGTAGGGGCTGGTAGGGGCTGGTAGGTAGGAGCTGGTAGGGGCTGGTAGGGGCTGGTAGGAGCTGGTAGGGGCTGGTAGGGGCTGGTAGGTAGGAGCTGGTAGGGGCTGGTAGGGGCTGGTAGGGGCTGGTAGGGGCTGGTAGGGGCTGGTAGGGGCTGGTAGGGGCTGGTAGGGGCTGGTAGGCAGGAGCTGGTAGGAGCTGGTAGGGGCTGGTAGGGGCTGGTAGGAGCTGGTAGGGGCTGGTAGGGGCTGGTAGGGGCTGGTAGGAGCTGGTAGGGGCTGGTAGGGGCTGGTAGGGGCTGGTAGGAGCTGGTAGGTAGGAGCTGGTAGGAGCTGGTAGGAGCTGGTAGGGGCTGGTAGGGGGTGGTAGGGGCTGGTAGGAGGTGGTAGGTAGGGGCTGGTAGGAGCTGGTAGGAGCTGGTAGGGGCTGGTAGGTAGGAGCTGGTAGGAGCTGGTAGGTAGGGGCTGGTAGGAGCTGGTAGGGGCTGGTAGGGGCTGGTAGGTAGGAGCTGGTAGGAGCTGGTAGGTAGGGGCTGGTAGGAGCTGGTAGGAGCTGGTAGGGGCTGGTAGGTAGGAGCTGGTAGGAGCTGGTAGGAGCTGGTAGGGGCTGGTAGGTAGGAGCTGGTAGGAGCTGGTAGGTAGGGGCTGGTAGGAGCTGGAAGGAGCTGGTAGGGGCTGGTAGGGGCTGGTAGGTAGGGGCTGGTAGGTAGGGGCTGGTAGGGGCTGGTAGGTAGGGGCTGGTAGGTAGGGGCTGGTAGGTAGGAGCTGGTAGGGGCTGGTAGGAGCTGGTAGGAGCTGGTAGGGGCTGGTAGGTAGGAGCTGGTAGGGGCTGGTAGGGGCGCTGGTACCACTCACCGGCTTCTTCCCCGAGCGGCACCTGCTGCTCCGAGCGCGTCTTGCGGGCGCGGGGGCTCTGCGTCAGGCGCAGGCCACCCATGATGCTCGGGAAACTGGGGGGGCTGGCGGCCGGGAACTCCGGCATGGGGTCTGCAGACGGCAACCCAGGGGGGGGGGGGGGGGGGAGGAGAGACCCACACACACCACACACACCACACACACCAGACAAACACCATCACGAGTTAATACCACTCTTCAATACAGCGCGAGTTTAATAAAAAAACATTTTCATTCGATAGGCGACACTTTGGGCAATGACTCCCCTCTCGGTTGGCTACGTAGGGTGCAAAAGAAGTTCAACATACACACAGAGACCCACAGACTCACCACACAGAGACCCACAGACTCGCCACACAGACCCACAGACTCATCACATAGAGACCCACAGACTCACCACACAGCCATATAATCATAACACAGAGACCCACAGACTCACAACACAGAGACCCACAGACTCACCACACAAACACACTCACCACACAGCCATATAATCATAACACAGAGACCCATAGACTCACCACACAGAGACCCACAGACTCACAACACAGAGACCCACAGACTCACCACACAAACACTCACCACACAGCCATATAATCATAACACAGAGACCCATAGACTCACCACACAGACCCACAGACTCACAACACAGAGACCCACAGACTCACCACACAAACACTCACCACACAGCCATATAATCATAACACAGAGACCCATAGACTCACCACACAGACCCACAGACTCACCACACAGAGACCCACAGACTCACCACACAGAGACCCACAGAGACTCACCACACAGACCCACAGACTCATCACATAGAGACCCACAGACTCACCACACAGCCATATAATCATAACACAGAGACCCACAGACTCACAACACAGAGACCCACAGACTCACCACACAAACACACTCACCACACAGCCATATAATCATAACACAGAGACCCATAGACTCACCACACAGAGACCCACAGACTCACAACACAGAGACCCACAGACTCACCACACAAACACACTCACCACACAGCCATATAATCATAACACAGAGACCCATAGACTCACCACACAGAGACCCACAGAGACTCACCACACAGACCCACAGACTCACCACACAGCCATATAATCATAACACAGAGACCCACAGACTCACACAACATATCGCGCAGCGCTTTTAGACGAGCTTCTGCGGCCGTCTGGAACGCTCTTCCTTTCGATATTCGGAAGCCGCTGGGAGCTGTTACACTTTTAAATCATCGTCCAGATTGAAGACGTATTTCTTTAGGGTCGTGTTTAGTTCGTTGTCCTTCCACTCCGATTAACGCGGTTGGCTACGTATGGTACGAAAGAAGTTCAACATTCCTACATTCGGAGATGTTAAAACTCTACCTCCCCTGGTATACAGGAGGTCCGTGAGTTCAGCCCCGACCCCGACACCTGTTTATTTGGATTTGCATGTCTCGCTCCACATGGCCATGTCGATTTTCCTCCGGGTTTAGCTTATTTGGCCGCTGCTGTACATTTCCACGCGACGACGATGATGATGATCGGCCACCACGATGAGCTATCGTTTGTGATGGCCGGGTCGCGTCTGAACAAACACCTACACAGCTCAGTGGGGCCTTAGCTGGTAAAAAAATATATAGTTTAGTTTAGTCTGTATGGGTCTGCGTGTGTATGTGTGTCCCTCTGTGTGTGTGTCCCTCTGTGTGTGCGCGTCCCTCTGTGTGTGCGCGTCCCTCTGTGTGTGCGCGTCCCTCTGTGTGTGCGCGTCCCTCTGTGTGTGCGCGTCCCTCTGTGTGTGCGCGTCCCTCTGTGTGTGCGCGTCCCTCTGTGTGTGCGCGTCCCTCTGTGTGTGCGCGTCCCTCTGTGTGTGCGCGTCCCTCTGTGTGTGCGCGTCCCTCTGTGTGTGCGCGTCCCTCTGTGTGTGCGCGTCCCTCTGTGTGTGCGCGTCCCTCTGTGTGTGCGCGTCCCTCTGTGTGTGCGCGTCCCTCTGTGTGTGCGCGTCCCTCTGTGTGTGCGCGTCCCTCTGTGTGTGCGCGTCCCTCTGTGTGTGTCCGTCCCTCTGTGTGTGTCCGTCCCTCTGTGTGTGTGTCCGTCCCTCTGTGTGTGTGTCCCTCTGTGTGTGTGTCCCTCTGTGTGTGTGTCCCTCTGTGTGTGTGTCCCTCTGTGTGTGTGTGTCCCTCTGTGTGTGTGTCCCTCTGTGTGTGTGTCCCTCTGTGTGTGTGTCCCTCTGTGTGTGTGTCCCTCTGTGTGTGTGTCCCTCTGTGTGTGTGTCCCTCTGTGTGTGTGTCCCTACGTGCGTCCCTCTGCGTGTCCCTCTGTGTGTCCCTCTGTGTGTCCCTCTGTGCGTCCCTCTGTGTGTCCCTACGTGCGTCCCTCTGTGCGTCCGTACGCGCGTCTGTATGTGGGTCTCGATGCGTTTATAGAGCATTTGGCTGCTGCTATTCATTGCCACACAATGCTGCAAGACGACAAGCCACTTCGTTGAGCTGCTGTCATTTCGATGGTCAGGTCAAGGCTTCTGACAAGAGCTACACAGCTCAGAGGGGCCTTACCTGGTGAAATAGTTTGTCGTTTTATTTTAGCTCAAACCAGACAGGGGCAAAATAAAATTCCTCAAGTTCAACCGAGGAGGCACCCAACGTCGTCGCGGTTGTACAATGACAACACCTGCCCCCTGCCCCCTGGCACGGGGAACTTCCAGCGCGGCACACGGCATGCCCAAAACAACATTCGAGCTGGACCAAGCTCATTTTGGGAGTCTGTACCAAAGACAAAGATCTCCCGTACGGCATTAACAGACTCTATCAAGGCTGGCACGGCACACGAGAGGGTGGGGTGGCCAGCACCACGCCCGGCCGCCTTTGTCTCCCCTAGCACCAGGTACTCATTTAGTTGACCTATGGGGAGGAGGCCCAGGACCGCTTCACACAATCGCCACTGGTGGTAGTGGCGGCGAGCGCAGCGCGCCAACCGTTACCACTCCCGCTCCCCCCCCACATGCACCAACACGCACTTATTCACGTGACAAACCTCACGAACTGGCTGTGGTCGGGTGGTGGTGATGGCTTAACGACAACATTTACATTTTACGCGGCCTAACCCCAAAAACCTTCGCGACCAATACGATTCGTCGCGAAAGCCTCCGTGTGTTGCACGGACACGCACCGACACGCGCACTGACACGCGCACTGACACGCGCACTGACACGCGCACTGACACGCGCACTGACACGCGCACTGACACGCGCACTGACACGCGCACTGACACGCGCACTGACACGCGCACTGACACGCGCACTGACACGCGCACTGACACGCGCACTGACACGCGCACTGACACGCGCACTGACACGCGCACTGACACGCGCACTGACACGCGCACTGACACGCGCACTGACACGCGCACTGACACGCACACTGACACGCACACTGACACGCGCACCGACACGCGCACTCACACACACCGACACACGCACCCACACGCTGTCACGCGCACTGACACACGCACCCATGCGCACTCACACACGCACTGACACGCGCACTGACACGTGTGGGGTGCCTTGAGGATTAACTCCTGCAGCAAGCGTCTGGGCGCTATCGCGGGATTGGGTTGCTCGCGTTGCCGCGGAAGGCGGCCAAGGGCTGCCAGCGCACAGAGGCCCAGCCAGCTAAGATCCGCAGACACACATGGGGGAGTGGTGGGTGGTGAGTGTGAGTACGTGTCTGGGGTGGGTGGTGGGTGTGAGTACGTGTGTGTGTCTGGGGTGGGTGGGTGGTGAGTCTGAGTACGTGGGGGTGGGTGTGAGTGTGAGTACGTGTGTGGGAGGGGTGGGTGTGAGTGTAAGTACGTGTGTGTGTGTCTGGGGTGGGTGAGTGTGAGTACGTGTGTGTATCTGGGGTGAGTGGGTGGTGAGTGTGAGTACGTGTGTGTGTCTGGGAGGGGTGGGTGTGAGTGTGAGTACGTGTGTGGGAGGGGTGGGTGGTGGGTGTGAGTACGTGTGTATCTGGGAGGGGTGGGTGGTGAGTGTGAGTACGTGTGTGTGTCTGGGAGGGGTGGGTGGGTGGTGAGTGTGAGTACGTGTGTGTGTCTGGGGTGGGTGGGTGGTGAGTGAGTAGTGTGTGTGTCTGGGAGTGGTGGGTGGTGAGTGTGAGTACGTGTGTGTGTCTGGGAGTGGTGGGTGGTGAGTGCGAGTACGTGTGTGTCTGGGAGGGGTGGGTGGTGAGTGTGAGTACGTGTGTGTGTCTGGGAGTGGTGGGTGGTGAGTGTGAGTACGTGTGTGTCTGGGAGGGGTGGGTGGTGAGTGCGAGTACGTGTGTGTGTCTGGGAGTGGTGGGTGGTGGGTGTGAGTACGTGTGTGTGTCTGGGAGGGGTGGGTGTGAGTGCGAGTACGTGTGTGTGTCTGGGAGTGGTTGGTGGTGGGTGTGAGTACGTGTGTCTGGGAGGGGTGGGTGGTGAGTGCGAGTACGTGTGTGTGTCTGGGAGTGGTGGGTGGTGAGTGTGAGTACGTGTGTGTCTGGGAGGGGTGGGTGGTGAGTGCGAGTACGTGTGTGTGTCTGGGAGTGGTGGATGGTGGGTGTGAGTACGTGTGTGTGTCTGGGAGGGGTGGGTGGGGAGTGCGAGTACGTGTGTGTGTCTGGGAGTGGTGGGTGGTGGGTGTGAGTACGTGTGTGTCTGGGAGGGGTGGTGAGTGTGAGTACGTGTGTGTCTGGGAGGGGTGGGTGGTGAGTGTGAGTACGTGTGTGTGTCTGGGAAAGGTGGGTGGTGAGTGTGAGTACGTGTGTGTGTCTGGGAGGGGTGGGTGTGAGTGTGAGTACGTGTGTGTGTCTGGGAGGGGTGGGTGTGAGTGTGAGTACGTGTGTGTGTCTGGGAGTGGTGGGTGGTGGGTGCGAGTACGTGTGTGTGTCTGGGAGGGGTGGGTGGTGAGTGTGAGTACGTGTGTGTGTCTGGGAGTGGTGGGTGGTGAGTGTGAGTACGTGTGTGTCTGGGAGGGGTGGGTGGTGAGTGCGAGTACGTGTGTGTGTCTGGGAGTGGTGGGTGTGAGTACGTGTGTGAGTCTGGGAGGGGTGGGTGTGAGTGCGAGTACGT